TGCTGAAAGTCTTACTGAGTTGTAAAAGGAAATCCTTACAATGGCCTAGAGGCCCAGCAGTGTCTGGCCCTGTCACTTCTTTGAGCCCACCTCTTCAATTTTCCTCTGCTTCCTCTGACCCAGCCACACTGGCTCTTGTTGTTCTTATAACACACCAGGCACACTCCCTCTTCTGCTCCTTCACACTGCCTGTTCCTTCTATCTTGATACTACCTTCCCCCAAATATCTGTAGGACTAACCTCCTCACTTCCTTGAAGGCTTTCTTCAAATGTCACCAATCCAGTGAGGTCCTTCCCTAACTACCCTATTTAAAGTTGCAACCTGACTCCTAACGCCCAGCACTTCTGAACCCCCTTACCCAGCTCCATTTCTTCTACAACATTTGCCACACATCCTAATGAATGACATCATTTTCTTATTTGTTATGTTGACTGTCTATCTTCCCTGGCTTTCCTGCAAGCTTTAGGAAGAAATATGACCACCTGCAATTCTTAAAAAATGAAAGGGATTTTTGCTGTTTTGGTCACTAAAGTATGCCAAGTTCAAGAGAGTGCCTAGCACACAGTTGGCAATCAAATATTTGTTTGTTTTGTTTTTGGCCTCACCGTGTGGCTTGCGGGCTGAAAGCATGGCGTCCTAACCACCAGACTGCCAGGGAATTCCTGGCAATCAAATATTTGTTGAATGAATGAATGAATACATGAATAAATTTAGGATAAAGTTGTGTATTATATCTCAATAATAAATTAATATCTCATTTCATCATTACTAAGATAATTCTATTTCACATTTTGGAAGTTTAATGACTTACCCATTTCAAATAATAATTATAAATACCTAAACCCTACAATCTTGGCTTTCAGGGGACTAGAGAAAAACATGTTATATTTTATATTTCAGTAAAGGAAATCAGCAGCATTAATGGCACTGTCTGCTCTGAAGAATTATTTTCAGTCATCCTTTAACTGTTGTAGAAATGATAACCATCTAGGCACAAATAGTTGAATATTATTATTCATCTTCCTTAATATTTGTCTTCCACAGAGAAAAGTGGCTAGGATATCATTGAAAAATGTGTTCTCACCTATATTTCCTAAGTAAAAAAAGCAGTTACTTTCTTTTCTAAATTTTCAGTCTTTGATGAGCAGTGTATTACTGAATAAAAATTATACTTACACATCTTGAAATTCTTCTAGAGTTTTCTGTGGTGTAAACACATTTAACAAGCTAATTATCTGAAAAGAGAAAATTATATCTCAGCATGTCAAATGACTCTACTTGATTATAAAAATTAAGTTTAACATTAAAGTGTGTTAAAACTAGAAAAAAATCACAGCAGAGCTTTGTATTTATTATTATTGTTATTGCTTTTACCAAAACATTCTATTACACAGCATTTGAAAAAAGCTAAATGATTAGGATTCTCATCTTGGAAATAATATGCACTTTTAATCAAATCACTTTTATGTGTCCCCAGTAACTTATTACTACAGAATTTTAACACATAATGTCTTTCTAGCTCTGAACATAAAAAAGTAGCAATTACAAGTAGAAAAACACTAAATAAAGCAATATGTTAACTCTGAAAACTTAAATACAATATCCAAATTTCTAAAAAGTTTTGAAATGTGAAGGCTAAGCTTATATTTTTGGTATGATAAAGATGAAATGCCTCATAGCATTACCTATTAACATTACCTTTACGTAAGGAGGATTCAAGAACTGACCCCACCACAGGCCTTGGTCCTGGCACCCCAATGGTTAAACAATGAATTCTGCTGCTTGAGCATCAAACACACGACCTCAATCATTTCAAATGACTGAGGGAAAGATGAATTATTCAGTATATAGGATTGGAGTGGCTGGCTAGCCAAGGGGGAAAAAAACTAGATTCATACTTCAATCTTTACACCAAGATAAACTCAAAATGGAACAAAAATTTAAATCTAAAACATGAAACCATGAAACATTAAAATATGAATAAACATTTATACAATTCTGGTGTAGAAAAGCCTTTTCTAAGCATGACAGGAAACCTAGGAGATTTATTATGTTAAAACACAACAACAAAAATCAGTATGACAAAAACAACCTAAATTAAGTCAGATGGAAAAGTGAGGGTTGACAGCTTTAATATACAAAGATCTTCTATAAATGCATAAGAAAGAAACCAACAGTCCTAGAGAAAAATGGACAATTGCCATGAAAAACCAACTCTCAAGAAATAAAAATAAATGGCTAATAGAGATATGGAAAGAAAATCAACCTCACAAATAAAAATAAGGTGTCATTTGTCATCTATCAGTTTGGTAAGGTAAAACAAAAAATCAACAGTATGTAGCTCTGGGGTATTTTGAAATAAAAGACATACTCAAATACTCAATAAAAGTGTAAAATTGACAGTCTTCCTTGAGGTTAATTTGTCAGTATATATTATTAAAACCAAAAGTGTGCATAGTCTTTGACCCAGCAATCTTGGCCAAGGAATTCACCTGGACAAGTGTGCAAAGATGCAATGTATAAGGATGTTCACTGCAGCACTGCTTATAATAGCAAAAAACTGGAAACAATCTAAATATCTGATAATAGGTGACTGGTTAAATGAATTACTGTGCATCTGTACTATGTAGCCATTTAAAAAATGGTTTATATCTATGTTCATTAATGTATATGAGATCTAGCAACATTCCACTAGGGAAAAAGCAGGATGCGTAATAACATAACAGAGCTTATTTATGTATGTGTGTACATATATGCATAAGAATGCTCACCAAAATGTTAATGATAGTGGGTGGTGGGATTCAAGGATTTTTCTTTCTTGTTTATACTGTTTGAATTAAAAAAAATAATAAACACTTTTTTGTAACCTGAGAAAAAAACTTTTTTACTTTTTGTTTTAAACCTGTAAAATAAAGCATGCATTGGAGAATTTAAAAACAAACTCAAACCACAGACTCAAAAGATTGAACCTATCTTAGTTTTGTGTTTAATGTCCCTACACCAGAAAAATCCAGCATAAATGTTACAACAAAAGGAGCCATATAGAGTTGAGCGTACTTTTAAATACTTTTCCCCCCCACCCCGTAACAAAAAGAGGTCATATGGGAGGGGATCTCCAAAGCCCCTGCCAGACTTAACACTTTATAATTTTATAACATGGCAAGGTTATCAAAATCATGTTCAAAATAATGCTCAGGCATCAGTAGCAGAACATAAAATGGGCCTGAGTACCACATTTTCTAGAGATATACTGTTTTTCCTTAAAATTTACAATGCTTTGATTTCTGTAGAGATGCCAAGTACAACTATCTTGAATATAACATCATCTAATAACATTTATTTAAATAAATGTGAATATGAAAAAGCTACTTATAGAACAACGTTTTTCTAAAAAGTATTTGGATATTTCTCAATTTGCCAGGTCAATACTGTTGCCATTTTATACACAGGGAAACAGTGAAAACCAAATGGTTACAAGGTTAATTGACATTCCCATCCGTGTTGAGTGACCTAAATCCCTACGGACAAAGATGCCTCTTGCTGACTTCAATATCTCCAATGTTGATTAAAAATTCTGTCAATAAAATATAACCGATTAAAAATTCTGTCAATAAAATATAACCATTTAAATAGTATTTTTATCACTAGTTTACCCTAGGTCTAAACTCATTGTATCTCCAAAGACCCAGATGATTATGACAGCATTGACAACATTAAAGTATTAGAGGAAACATAGACATAACTTACATTTTTATGATTGACACATTTTAAGAGGACAAGTTCACGATAAGCTCTCTTTGCATGAGTCTGATTCTGAAAAGGACGGCTTAGTTTCTTGACTGCAACATTTATCCCAAGAACTGTATCAAAAGCAGCACTATAATTAAGAAATATAATAGGCAACCCATTAGGATGATTTTGGAATATACAGCAATGCAGAATGTACATTCAATGTATTATCTTTTTAAATGAGTAACAAATAAGGAAAAATCTGCTTGCTTCCACTCTGGTACTTCTGCACATTAAGAGCAAGGTGAGTTGGCTAAGAGTGCAGCAATCCTTTGCACATGGACGTCTCATTATATTAGTTGAGATTATTATGTTCAGAACCAAGTAATTTAATACAGAGCATGTAAGACTGCTCAGGAAACAAAATCTTCAGTTTAAATATGCCAATAAGTTGAAAAAAAGTCACTGGTATCACAGAATGAAATATAAGTATATTTTGGAGTATCACAGTGGAGAAAATGGTTTGAACTCATGAGACGGATATAATAAATCTAAGTTTTGATTGATTGTGTTTTTCCCAGATGTAAGAATCTAAAAGGAAAACAGAAGCCAAAATCTCAGTTCATGGTAAATCCCCAAGATACAAAATCCCTAACATAAGCAATTGCTATACATAAAATTCTGCTAGAAATACCTCCTCATACTAATATGGTAAGAAATAAAATCTAGGATCTGTGTTTCCAGAATCTCAAGTTCCCAGCTGAAATTTATGATTGATTTTCCTCCAGAAAATAGACAGGAAAAATTGAGTACCTTCTGTACTAGTTTCAAGCTAGCACTAACAGTATGATTGCTGTCACTGTTACCTTTTGGCTCCTCATCAGGGGTTAAAAGCTGCTAAAGACCATCTGAGAACCTAAGCACCATTTAAAATACTGTTTCTATTTATTTATTCTATTCAATTTATAACACTGTTTACACTTATTCACTTCTATTAATTTTTTTGCCAAAAAACCCAAACTTAATTCAATTTTAACTTTTTAAAATTGAAGGCTGTCTGCTGTAGCATTTAAGAATTATTAGAAGCTTCATGTTACTTTGGAATTACTTTTTCTTTAATTCAGTTCACATTATGTGTTCATGTATACACAGATGTAAAATCACATGCCCAGGGACTTCCCTGGTGGTCCAGTGGTAAAGAATCCGCCTTCCAATTCAGGGGACTTGAGTTCGATCCCTGGTTGGGGAACTAAGTCCCACATGCTGTGGGGCAACTAAGCCTGTGTGCCACAACTACTGAGCTCACGTGCCACAAACTGCAGAGTCCATGCACTCTGGAACCTATGGGCCACAAGTAGAGAGAAGCCCGCATGCCACAAGGAAAGATCCCACACGCCTCAATGAAGACCCTGCGTGCCACAACTAGGGCCTGAGGCAGCCAAAAAAATAATAAAGAAAATTAATTAATTAATTAAAATCACATGCCCATATGCAAATGTAATATTCATATGGATTATAAGATATCAAAAATAAATCTATGTGTGAAACAAATCATTAATTAATACATACACATGTGATTTGTACTTATATATATATATTTCTCAGTCTTGAGAATTTAAAAACAGATACACCTTTTTTGGTCTCAAAAGTTTTTCTCCAATGAGCCAAATGGACCAATTCTGAATATCTGAGCGGACACATGCTTCCCCATTCCTAGTTCCAACTCCAGGAGGAGCTACCTTCAGTTATTCCTGGCTTTACTTCTTTTAGTAACATCTCAACTCCAAAGAATATACTTTTATCACTATTTCCTCATTTATCAACTTCAGAAATTAGCTATTTACTCCCCATTATGAACACTGAGGATTTAGTCACTTCGTTGAAACCCCCAACTCCTCCTAGTTTTTTGTTCTCATGTTATTTTTTATTTTTTGCGGTACGCGGGCCTATCACTGTTGTGGCCTCTCCTGTTGCGGAGCACAGGCTCCCGACGCGCACGCTCAGCGGCCATGGCTCACGGGCCCAGCCGCTCCGCGGCATGTGGGATCTTCCCAGACCAGGGCATGAATCCGTGTCCCCTGCATCGGCAGGCGGACTCTCAACCACTGCGCCACGAGGGACGCCCTCTCATGTTATTTTTAACTTTTCCCTTGGTCACCCTTGTAACTTTAAATAACATGCCTAAACTTGCTACATCAACTTTCAAAGGAACCTCTTGCTCCCCACTATGTAAAATGAGAATATTACACTTCATCTCCTTTTTCCTCCAGCTCTCTAATCTCTTTTCCTCCAATTTCTGTCTTAAATGGTCAAGTTTAATAACACATCTTTCAATCTCTATAATTAAACCTTCTGTGTTTCTTCCTTAGGATGTGTCTAAAAGTTGAAAATCAACTTACAGAGTGTATGTACATATGTGCACACATGTAAACATTACTAATTTCAGAGCGAGCATTACATTTCATTTCTAAAGATCACATGACCCTTGCCACTCATAAGAGAATGTGATTGTTTCCAGCATTAAGGTTAAATGGATTCTCTTCTAACATTCTGTAAGTTCTCAAACATCATGCCGCTTTAAATTTTATTCTTAGGGCTTCCCTGGTGGCGCAGTGGTTGAGAGTCCGCCTGCTGATGCAGGGGACACGGGTTCGTGCTCTGATCCGGGAAGATCCCACATGCCGCGGAGCGGCTGGGCCCGTGAGCCATGGCCGTTGAGCCTGCGCGTCCGGAGCCTGTGCTCTGCAACGGGAGAGGCCACAACAGTTTGAGGCCCGCATAACGAAAAAAAAAAAAAAAAAAAAAAACCAAAAAAAAAAAAAAAAAAAAAAAAAAAAAACCAAAAAAAAAAAATTTTATTCTTAGATCATGACTTTTTCTAACTTTTCTACCACAAGTTTCTAATAAACTTTTTTTTTCTTATTAAGAGAAGACAAATATACCTCTTTAGAGCCTGTCACTAGTACTTCTTACCTTCTTATTCACATTATCTATTGTTTGGAATCTATTCCATTTTTGGGGAAGACATTTTTCTTGGGGTTTCAAGGCCTGATGTGTAGCTATCGCCCTGGGATTTCTTTTCTCTGGCTTCCACTGTTTCTGGTGTTACACGTTCTTGTATTCTTTCTTGTTGGAGTACATTCTCAAGGAATTTCCTCAGAAAAAAAGGGCATGGAAGATAAATTATCTTACTCTTCCTTTATCCTTGATTCATAGTTTGTCTTCTAAGCTCGAAATCAATTTTCTCTCAGAGCTCTAGTGATTTCCAAAGTTGAGTGTTGTTGGTGAGAAGGCGTATGCCTGTCTGGTATTCATTCTTTTGCTTCCTTTTTTGTTCCTCATCTCAATGATTTATTACAAAGAACCATGTTTTGTCAACAACCCCAAAGTGCTCGCCCCCACTAATCACTATCCTTCCTGCCCCCCAAAGACGATAACTACTTCTGACTTTATTTTTATACTATAATTAAAAAAAAAAATTATTTGGCTGTGCCGGGTCTTAGCTGCTGCACGCAGGATCTTCAATCTTCATTGCGGCATGCAGGATCTTTTAGTTGTGGCATGTGGGATCTAGTTCCCTGACCAGGGATCAAACCTGGGCCCCCTGCATTGGGAGCATGGAGTCTTAGCCACTGGACTACCAGGGAAGTCCCTTACTTCTGACTTTTATGATAATCACTTCCTTGCTTTTACCAGCTAAACATGTATCTTCAAGCCCCTGCATCATTTATTTTTGCCTGGTTTTTGAAACTATGCCTGACTTCTTTCACTCAACATTATATTTGTGAGGTACATCCGTTGTTGTGTGAAGCTATAACTCATTCTGTGTCATCACTATAATATTCCTTTATTATGATTATATGACATAATGTTGATAGATACATTGGTTGTTTTCAGTTTGCAAGCAAAAAACATGGTCATAAACATTCTTGTACATGGTTCTGGGCATGCATTTCTGACGAGTAGATAGCTAAAAGTGGTATTACATATAGTTTATTTTAGTAGATAATGCCAAACTGTTTTCTGAAGTGGTTTATTCTATCAATTTCTAGGCATTTGATTTTTTTGTAGTATATTGACCCTGTGTCCTGCAAGAGGGCCAAGTTTAACTAAAAGGAGATCACAAGGGAAGGGGGGGGGGCACTAATCCAATCACGAGAGCCCTTTAGAAGCAGAGTTTGTTTTGGCTGGTGGGAAGAGGGGAAAGTCAGAGAGATCTGAATCCTGAGAAGGACTAGACATGTTGTTGCCTTTAAGATGGAAGAGGAGTCACGTGAGAAGGAATGTGGGAGCCTCTAGAAGCAGAGTGGCCCCTGGCTGATAGAGAGCAAGGGAATGGAATGGATACCTTTGACCTACAGCTGCAAGGAACTGGGTTCTGCCAAGAACCTGAATGCACTTGAAAGCAAATTCTTCCCCAGAGCCTCCAGATAAGAGCCCAGTCCAGTGACACCTTGATTTCAGCCTTGTGAAATGCCAAGCAGAGAACCCAGGGAAGCCCACCCAGATTTCTGACCTACAGAACTATGAAATTATAAATGGTTGTTGTTCTGCTTTAAACCACTAAGTTTATGGTAATTTGTTATGCGGCAATAGAAAACAAATACATCCTCTCTTCCATATTTTTCTACCCTTTTGTCTCCCCAGGCTTCATTCTGGATACTTTTTTCCTCACCTATCTTTCAGATCACTATTCTCTCTTTAGTTATATCTAATATGCTTTTAAACCCACCCATTAACTTCATAATTCAATTACTATGTCTTATAGTTCTATAATTTCTATTTAGTTGTTTTAAGTTTTCATTTTCCACCAAAAATTTTTCATACTGTCTTTTATCATCCGGAACATAACATCATAACTCTTTGGAAGTCTGGATCCAATAATGCCAATAACCCCTGTGGATCTGTTTCTTTTCTCTGTTGTTTGTGCTGGATTTTGTGAATGTTGTCCAATCTCCTTGTGTGACTAGTTATTTCTGATTACGTGTTGCACCTTGAACTTGCAAAACTGTTTGCTATCTAGAAATAATTTGATATCCAGTATGATGCTATCTTTCTCCAGGTAGAATTTACATTTATTTCTGCTGGGTACCTGGGGGCACTAGCAATTTGGGCTCACCTCACTTTGGGTTCAGCAAATGAGATGAT